CCTGGCCATCCTCTCCCTCATCCTCCACACCCTGAGCAAGCAGCGCCAGCGCCCGTGCCTCAGTTTCCCCAAGTGATGCTATCCCTGTCTCTGGCAAACTCATGCTCAGGGTTGCTTTGGGGTAAACAGTCCCAGATTTACCATGTTAATCACCATAAAATGATCACATCCATGTATAAAGCCTCATTACCCTTTTTGTTACCCAGTTAAGCCCTGGAAATCATGAAGCAGGGAAAGAAATCACCGCTGCTTCGTGCTGGTTTTGGTGAGATGAAGGTTTAAAGCTCAGTCCCTCCTTTTGTGCGGCTAGAAATGGGGTTCAATGAAACAGACGTGACCCATCTCACCCTCATTGCCTGTGCTGGGGGTCACCATCAGATGAGCTTCCCCAGCACGCAGAGCCCTCAAAGGCGATGCCCACAGCCTGTGGCAATGCAGTGGCACAGATTAACCCCATCCCAAGCCTCGCTGCAGCATTCACAGCAGCAGCAGCCGGGCTCAAGCTCGTCGATGCCAGAGCCGAACGCCGCACAACGTCCCTGTTCCATCGCATCACGGCCGCTGGGAATCGATCCCTGCTTCCCTGGGAGCAAACCGGCGCCTTATCCCGGCGAGGACAGGCTTTAACCGGCAGAGGGGGCCGGCAATTGCTGCGCTCCGTGGGCCCGACCCACGGCTTTGCCGCAAATAGAGCGGCGTCAATGGGGACAGGATCCCTATTTCCCCTCCCAAGCTCCTGCTGGTCCAAGGAGCCCGTTTTCAAGCCCCATTCACCCTCTGATCCATCACCAACGTTGAAACCTCGCATTGATGCTTTTTGACCGATCCAGGTGCTTAAACCCAGCCGAATCCCAGCTCTGGGCTTCCCACAGCTGCTCTCCTGATGTCTCCTTGATAAACGCAAGGACATGGGATAACGGAGCAGCAATGCTGATGTGTCAGTTCTTTCTGTAAGCCCCAGGCCTCTTTGTTTTCTGGCCAGCTCCAGGTTAAAGCAGAAGCCTCCTGCGGACTAAATTCGGGTAAGAGGGAAAATTCACAGGGAGAAATAGGTAGCACAGAGCACAGGAGGCTCCTGCGTCCTCAGTTTAAAGATAGGAAAGCCCCAAGGACATGAGAATTAGTTCGATGTATAAAGAAATAGAGAGAAACCTGCACTGTCCCTGCAGAAAACCTGCTGGTGCTCTGAAGCACAGCACAAGCAATGGGTGCAGACGTGTGATGGGTGCATCTGTTCTCTGCCCAGCCTTGGGGCAGAGGTGTCCCTATGGAAGGGACGTGCACAGGGCTCCCACGGGCGATGCTGTGAGCACACAGGCAGAGCAGATGCCACCAGGACCCTGAGCCAAGCCGGAGCCAGGGCAGGATGCCCGGAGCACACATCCTGCTCCGCCTGCTCGCCAGCTGCTGCCCTGGGGTTATTCATTGAATCCCAGCCTGGTTTGGGTTGGAAGGGACCTTAAAGCCCATCCAGCTCCAACCCCTGCCACGGGCAGGGACCCCTTCCACTGGAGCAGCTTGCTCCAAGCCCCTGTGTCCAACCTGGCCTTGAGCACTGCCAGGGATGGGGCAGCCACAGCTTCTCTGGGCACCCTGTGCCAGCGCCTCAGCACCCTCACAGCAAAGAGCTTCTGCCTAAGAGCTCAGCTCAGTCTCCCCTCTGGCAGGTTAAAGCCATTCCCCTTGGCCTGTCCCTACATCCCTTGTCCCAAGCCCCTCTCCAGGTTTCCTGCAGCCCCTTTAGGCACTGGAGCTGCTCTCAGGTCTCCCCTTCAGGAGCCTTCTCCTCTCCAGGCTGCCCCAGCCCAGCTCTCTCAGCCTGGCTCCAGAGCAGAGCTGCTCCAGCCCTCGCAGCACCTCCATGGCCTCCTCGGGATTCACTCCAACAGCTCCACGTCCCTCTGGTGCTGTTGAACACAGAACTGCAGGCGTGGGACCCTTGTGGGGATCAGCCATGGGGCTGTCACCCCCACAGGCAGCCTCCTACCAGCCCCTCTGGCTGCAGTGATGGGCATCAGCGTCCCACGCACCCAGTGGGGCTCAGCCCCCTGCTCACACCATAGCACAGCCCAGCAGCGGGCTGAGGGGCTTCCCATGCCCAGCCCCACAAACAGCTCCCAACCAACCACATCTACGACGTGAACAACAGCCTTGGACTTCAGCTTCCCATGGGTAAACAGAGACTCCCCTTTCCTGCTCCGGCTTCCTCCAGGCATGCAGGCAGATAACATTGTCTGCCTGTGGAAAACAAGCTCCCTTCATCCCCTACAGAAACAAAACCCTCCTGCGGCAGGGCAGGTGATGCCAAGCACCCTTCCCCTGCCTAAAGGAAGCCCTGCAGCATGCAGAGCGAGCTGCATGGCAGCCCACTCCCCTTAAAGCAGCCCCCAGCATCCTTCCCCACCCCAACACCGTTGAAACCAAGCTCATTCAACCACACACAGCTGAAACAGATCCACAGATGGATGGAGCTTCCTTCTCCCTGGCTGTTTTGGCCGACCCCGGGTCAGCCAAAGCTGGTGCTGCCCGAGGCACCTGTGGGAATGCTTCATTTCTACCAAGAAAAGCCTGGGAATGACATAAAATGCACCCTGGAGTGTTTGGAAGCCCAGAAGGAGGTGAAGGATCACCCATGGGGCTTTGTGCTGTTGATGGGGATGCTAGATTTCAGTGCTGGCCCTAAGGGATGTGTGAGGTTGGACTTTGCTCAGCCCCTTGCTGACTCACAACACAGGGATATTGCTCCCTGCAGCTGAATCTGGGACCAAATCCTTCTGCTGCTTCAGTTTGGGAAGCAAATCCTCTTCTTGCCGAGCCTGAGCACGAGCTCTCCTTCGCCCCCTCTCCAGGGATATCTATAGCACAAAGCCCTTGCAGTGATGGGGAGAAGCTGGATCCCAGTGGCCAAAGCTCCAGAATCTGGGATCGTGCACCGCATGGGCAGGCTCGGGAAGGACGGGGAACACAGAGCAGCCGTGCTCCATGTCTCCAACCTCCTCAGCCTTGCAGAAGGGGTCGCGCATCCCTGGACAGCTGTGGGGATACAGGAGGAGCCAGCCTCTCTGCTGTGCAGGCAGAGGAACATATGGCCCAGCGTATGCAAATGCTTTGTCACTTGAAGCAGAAAGCAGGGGGGTTTCTGGTGAGCATTTCTGAGCAGAACAGAGGGCAGACGTGGGGAGGGGGGTGAGGAAAGGATGGCAGCAAATCAAAGCCGGAGTGGAGCTGCAGTATCTAGGTTACCTTCATTATGTGCAGCTAAATATGGATGCCAATTAATTAGAGGGCTGCTGATTTCCAAAGAAAATCAGTTTACTCTTAATGAGCTAATCAGAACCTATTTAAATATCAAATAAATAATGACATGATTAGTCTGCACAAAGGCGTGTGCAGGCCCTTGACGCGGGCTGCTCCGGCTGGGATTTGGTGCACCATTGCCAGGATTTCCGCAGCGAGCCCTTGGGAACAGGATGCAAACAGCATCGTTTTCCCTCTGCTCTGATCCCAGTGGGACAGGGCTGTGTTTGATAGGGTATAAAGGTAATTTGCTGGCAACACCCAGTGATTAGCTGAGGATTTAAGGGCAGGAGTAAGCGGTGCCTGGATGGGCATCCTCCTGGTCCTGCTCCATGGTGTGAGGCTCTGGGTGCTCAGACAGAGCTCCTGGTATTGTGAATGTTAATAAGAGTCAAGCTGTGCTCTGCAATTAAAACCCTGATTATAATTTCTCCCATCTGTAGCTGATTCTACTCCAGGACTCAAGGAGGGATTCGGAAGAGATGTGAACATCACATGGGGGACGCGTGTGGCGTGTCTTCAGGTCGCATACGGTGACTGCATCCTTAAGGGGAGTGAGTGCAGCTCCTCCAATGTTAAACTGCTCCTAAGAATGGGTGTCCCACTTCTCCTCCTGCAGCCTGTGGATCCCCCAGTACCTGGGTATGGGATGAAGATGCCGGTCTGGAACACCGGTGGGAGAGCAACAGCATCAGTGCAACCCTGGTACCCAAAGGCAGCGCTCAAGTTGTGTGAGCAAAGCAAAGCAAAGCAAAGCAAAGGTGATGCTCATTTCGTGGTCAAGGTCGCTGCTGCCTGGCTGCATCTGCCAGGAGACCAAACGTGGTCCCATGGGGCAGCTCCCGAAGCAGCAGCTAAGTTTACAGGAGTTTAAAGCTGCAGGAGCAAGAGATGTGTGGATTCACAGGGAGCTGGGGAAGCAAATACACGGGGAAGGGAGCAAGGATGTGCGCTGCAGACAAGACATAGAGCAGACTGCAGACAGGGCTACATGATGCCTCTGCACGAAGTCCTTTAGATGGGTTCAGCTACAAACTGAAGCCCAAGGCTCTCTGCACAGCACATGGCTCCTGGGCACTGGTGATGGACCTTGACTATAGATCTTGTGTGAGGTGGCATCTGCTGCAGTGCACAGAGCAAAAACCCTGGGGTTTTGCAATAGGAAACGAGGGTGTGCAACCAAGATCTCCCTCTCGGCATCAAATCTGAGGGGCTGAGGTTGTATGGACAAGCTCAAGGAAAGGGCAAGGACCTGCTGGGCAGGACAGGGGGGGGTCTCCCTGCTTTCTGGGAGCTGTGAAATACCGGGGCCACAAACCCAAGTGGCATCTCCATAGGGTGGAGGTGTGCCCAGTGTCTGCCCTGCCCGCACCACTGGGAGATGCCAACCATGCTTTTAACAAAGGTCTCATTTTCTTCCCAAAGGGAAACCCGATCCGTTAAAGCAGCTCTAAATCCTCCCTGCCCTGCACAAGGAAACCCCAGGAAAGGACATCACGGGCAGTGTTCAAGGTTGGACGGGGCTTGGAGCAAACTGCTCTAGTGGAAGGGGCTGGAACTGGAGGAGCTTTAAAGTCCCTTCCACCACAAACCATTCCATGACTCCATGACAGCAGAGACCTCAACTCATCCCAGCGCAGGAGGGGGTGCCCCAATGGATCCTGCATCCGCCCTCCAGGTCGGAGGCGTCCCGAAGCCGTTACCTGCTCGATGGGGATGACGAGGAAGGAGCCGCCGCCGGCGCTCTCCGTCACGATGGCGAGGAAGCTGGCGTTGACGGCGCAGAAGTGGTTGTCGTGCACGTTCTTGGTGATGGGGACGCCGTCGAAGCAGTGCTCCCGGCTCGCCACCTTCCCGTAGACGTTCCGGAACTTGGAGCTGCGGTACTGCGGGCGCCATGACATCTGCAGGGCGACACAGAGGGGTCAGCGTCCCCCAGCACCCCGCTTCCCACCCCGTGCTGCAATAGGGGATTTGCCTTGCAAGGCATGGGGCAGCAAATAGAACACCCTTGATATCAATCGGAGGTGGCACAAGGGACCGCTCGCAAAAGGCATTAAAAGGCTCTCTGCTGTTGCAAGATTGAAGCTGCTCTCCTTTGGAGCATGAGCTGTTATCTGGAACACGCAGCACCAGGGCTCCATGGGCATATGACAGATGCATTAAGGCTTTTAACGCGGTGACTTGGAAATGGATCAGTCTGGACCACATGAATGCAGGCAGTGGGGCAGAAGAAGAGCACTTAAGGCAGGGAGTGAGCAGCGCGGAGCTGGTTCAGGCTGTGCTCAGCTGTCTCGGCTCATTCCGTACGGGTTTTCCCACTTGGAATGACCAACAGCTTTGTAGGAGCACTTGCTCCCACTGGTGAGATACCCTCAGGTACTCATCAGCTCATCCTTGTGGACCAGGGATCCCACGGACTGGTTTTCCATTTCAGTCACCTATGAGCATTCCTTATGGCAGCACAAGTACCCATGATGAAATCCATGAAGATTTAAGGCCCTTCAAGCTCGCAGGACTTGTGTTTAAGTGTTTAAGCCACCTTAAAGCAGCATTACTATTCAGCTCTACCCATAGACATGGCAACTGCACACATGAGGGCTCAACACCGCTCGTGTCTTCATAACTGGCATCTATTGACAAGAGCATGTAAGTGTGCACTAAAGCACTGGAGCATCCCCCAGCCAGGGGCAACACCAGGGAAACTCTCCAGTGGCTGCTCTAATCCTGAAGAAATCCAATTCCCTGCTTCCCCCCCCTCCTCCCCAAACCCAGCACCATGGGCACAAGGTTGGGAGCACCGAGTGTTCGACCTGCTCTAGTGGAAGGTGTCCCTTGGAACTGGAGGAGCTTTAAGGTCCCTTCATCCCAAACCGTTCCATGAGGAGTAGCAGGGGTTCGGCCATCCCCAGGCTGCAAGGAGAAAGGACACAGATCCCCGCGGATTTAACCCAAAACGAGAGCAGAGAATTGCTTTTTTTTTTATTCAGCTGGAGGCATTTCTGCTCTGCAAAAATGCAGACTCACGTCCAACAAAGCCCTGGGGATCTTTGCCAAACCGACCCAAGCGCTCGGAGCCAGGCAGGGCAAGGGGAAACGGGAGCGCAGCCTGAGGAGCGGCTTTCACTGCGTTTCCCTCTTGCATCTTCCTTTGTCCGAGCGGTTCTCGCATTGAAATGTAACCTTTTATTGTGTAAATGCAGCACTAAAATGTGTTTTGCTGGCGTTTGAAGCTCCCGATTTGCTCCATGGTCCCCAGACTTTGATTTTGCTCTTGTTTTTGCTGTCTCTGCCCCTCTGTTCCAGACCGACTGCAAAAAAAGCCCCATAATCTACCAAAATGGACCTTTTCCCCCTGTTTTTCCCCCTCTAAACTCTTCAGATGCCCTGTAGCATGTCCCCACAGAGGAGAAAACCCCTGTGCCCCACTGCAGAAACCCCTCTGACCCTGTGGGGCACCAGAAAAGAGGCTCCCAATAGTTTCTGCATCCAGAAACATTCAACCTAACGAAGCAATGCACCAGCACAAATAAGCTCCGAGAAGCCCCGAGATGGGTTTTACCCTTCACGTGGGTCCTCCCATGTGTGCTGTGGGTGCTCCATGTTCCCTGTGGTCCCCAACCACCAGGGTGATGCTGCTCCAGCATCTTTTGCATCTGTTTTTCCCCACCCCTCCCTGTTCTATTCCTTCTCCAAAGGCAGGGCCAGGCTCCGTTCAGCCCCTGCCACGCTGGGAGGAAGGAATAAGCCCAAGTGCCTGTGTCGCTAGAGAAATCCAGAGTTCCTTTCCCTTAACCTCAGCCGGTGTTTCCTGTATCCCAGCCTCACATCATCCCACGGCCTCGGGGCTGAGGCAGCCTGGAAACAACGGCAAAATCCCTGCTCAGGGCTGCCCAGAGCCCACATTGTGCTGCGGGAGGCTCCCGGATGGGCCCCTTCCTGCAGATCCTTGGCTTTGGAAGCTGGAGGAGGCCTTCCCAAGGCAGGAATAGATCCCGTGCCACAGGGAGAGCCAGGGGGTTCCAGCCCCATCGGCATCAGGGAGCACCAGCCTTTGGATGGGGAGGAGCAGGGAAACGCAGCTGATGGGACAGTTTCATGCTGATGGGGGATTTAAAGTCATTTACAGCCACAGCATAGGCATTGCCTACAAACAGAAACCTAGAAAGATGTTCTGGCCAAAATAAAACCACCACTTTCCCATCTGGATTCTCCCATTTGGATTATTTCCCATCGCATTATCCCGTTTGGGTGTTGTAATTGATGTCTCGGTTCCAGCTTGCTGAAAACTTTGAGTTTCCAAGCAGATGCCAGCTTTGGTTTCCCATTTCACTGCATTATTCATTCCTCCACTTATTTTTCCCCACTTCGACCTTCGCTTTGAAACTGGTGCTGCAGACAGGGCCATCTCATGGAGCTTCCAAGCATGCAGGGGATGGCAGAAGGAGCAGGAGCCCCTTGGACACCACAGCTCTATCCAGGAAGATTTCCCTGGCACCCGAGTGCTCCCAAAGGATGCAGAGAGAGCACAAGGCCCCCGAGTGACCTAAGGGATGCCAGGAAGAAGAGAATCAATGAAAAACCATCACGCAAACGGTGACGCACAGCCCCTATGTGCAAACGTGGCTGCTGACAGGCTCCATGCAGGATGTCTTCCCAGCAGAATACGTAGTCCCACAAGAAACCCCACTTTATGATGGAAAGCTGTTGAAAATCAGGTGATTTTTCTAGCCAGGAGGATGGAAGTCTCCTATCTCGCAGGCTCTGCAATCCAGAGCAGTGGTGTAGCTTCCAATGGGACATGGTTGTGTTATTTACTTATTTTCCTTCCACATATTCCTTTGCGGAGTCCTTCGCTCCCTGGGGTTTCCGGGCTCAGAGCAGGAGGAATGCTGGAGTTTGGAGCTGAACAAACATCCTATTTCCTGGGGAAGGCTTTTGAAGGCGAGGAGGGGATGGAGAGGAGGGGAGATGTGGGATGTTGTGGTGTGATGCAGCACAGAGCATTTTGCAGATGGTGCTGAGGAAACAGCCCCTTCCCCAAAGGAGGGAGACAAAGCAGGAGAGGAAAGGCTGGAAAAGACCCAGTCCCTATTCCACCCTGATCCCTCTGCCCTGAGCTTCCTCCCAGGGGCACGGTGGTGGTGCTGGGCGCTTTGGATGGCATTTGCATGTGGAGATTGAAGCATCCCGTGTCCCACAGGGTGTGGGGACATTGGCCATGGCCCAGATGTGGTGGCATTGGTGTGCTCAAGGGGATGGGACCTTCCCCAACACTTAAGGAGGGACTTAAAGGGCGGAATGGCTTTAACCTGCCCGAGGGGAGACTGAGCTGAGCTCTTAGGCAGAAGCTCTTCCCTGTGAGGGTGCTGAGGCGCTGGCACAGGGTGCCCAGAGAAGCTGTGGCTGCCCCATCCCTGGCAGTGTTCAAGGCCAGGTTGGACACAGGGGCTTGGAGCAAGCTGCTCCAGTGGAAGGGGTTGGAGCTGGAGGATCTTTAAGGCCCCTTTCAACCCAAACCAGCTGGTGACTATGATTGCATTGCTGTCTTCACCTTGAACTTAAACCCTTGCATTTCAGCACCCATGGAGATGAGCAGCATTTCAGACTCTTGGTTGGGTTTTTTTTCCCAAAATTTCTTTACCTTTTCCTTCTCACTCACAACTCCTTTGACTTAAAACTGTGTTTGTTCAGAACTCATCGATCCCATTGCAAATCACCCCCCCCCATGACCACACTTTGCTGTGCTCTGAAACAGAGAAATGGGAAAAGGAAACGGGGTGAATTCAGGGAAGATGGGGGATGCTGGAAGCTCATTTTAGCTCCTGTGTGCCTCTTGCCCTGGTGCACATGCATGAAGCCACAGATGTTCCTGGAGCAATGGCTCTGATCGAGCTGCTTTTATCAAGGGCCCAGCTCCTGCGCCGCATCCAGCAGCTCTGGGAGCTGTTATCCCTAGCCTTTCAATCCTTCAATATGCAGTTCCTATGAAACTCGCTTTTGGAGTAAACCCCCACGTTCTCCCGATGCTGACGGGTGGTTTTATTTTTCCATCACCTCACTCTCCATGGCTCAGAAGCATTAAAAGGAATATTATTGATTTATAGGACTCATTTCCATCCATCTCTGGACTCGGACCCATGTGCCACCGTTTCCAGGGTTCACTCTAGTCCTGCGTTATTCTTGGACTCTGGTTTTTCCTTCCATTACAAACCTCCTCCCTTGTTTCGAGCAGAAGTTACACAAACCCCAAGAACGCCATCAAGCACTTTGAAGTGAGGCAATGAAATAAATCACAGCATCCAGCATCACCATCAGCCTCATGAAACAAGCAGAGAAATGCTCCGCTCCGCTCCGGTGTTTTTAGGCTCATTGCAACGTTTGGCTTCTTTAAGTGCCTGAGGGGATGAGTGTGTCCCAGATCCCAAGCCGGAAGGAGGAAACCTCTTTTGGCAGCAAGTTAGAGCAGAAAGCTGCGCATTGGGAAGCCTTGAGCAGTGATGCAGGCCAGTGCTGAGCATCTGCTCCCCCCAGTACCCCTGGATGGGAGGAGGAGGATGGGCAGCGCTGCCATCCCGCTCCTCCTCTCTAAACAAAAGAACAAAGCAGCTCATTGAGGTTTCATAATGGGAGCAAGGATATCTGCACCCGGGCTGGGGAACATCCTGCCTGCAGCTGAAATATCCCGTTGAGGAGCAAGGCATAGAAGGGTTTGTGTGTCACTTCCGAGCTGTTCCTCAAAACCAGGGGCAAACACAGACCTGGAGGTGGGAAGCACCCCAGGAGCAGTGTTACAGGTGAGGGGCCCGGGGTTTGCAGCTCTGGGTGAAGCCTGTCACACTCCCTGCACCTCTGAAGGGTTGCATCGGTATCTTACTGCCATCCTGCCCCACTGCATAAGCAG